TAAATGATGTGTTTTAACTGCAACATGTTGAGATTTGAAGTCTTCAACATTATATCCATCACACAATCACAAGTGCGGCTACATGTAGAGACACCTGTTTAAGAAATACATTATTCAGTTCCTGTTTATAGCTTGCAAAGGAAGGTCCCTTGCATCTTTCACCATTGTCAAAGGTACATGCTTACGAACTGACAGTGGATTCAGAAGAAGGTCTCCTAGCTTAGTGAAATGTGATTATGGGTCTCATACCACAGTTTGTTTGAGGCCTCACACCACAGTTGCTTCTTCCCCAGGTTGACAGCAGCCAGCTGAGCCCTGCAGACGCCAAACAGGTGTTTGCAGAGGTGGAGCAGCAGCTTCAGACATGTGAAGGCTGCATCAAGGAGATGTTCACCGACGTACAGACTCTGAGGGAAGGAGGCTACCCACAGGCAGACCCACTCCAGAAGAAGTAAGCATGTGGTCAAACCCACAGTACATGTGACATGCATCTCTTGTTGTGATGGGGTCAAGAGAAATACATTGTGTAGAAAGAGAATAACAATGATGATAGATCAAAGACTGAACTTGAAATATACATGTAACTTTCAGTGAGAGAATCCTCTTGTTCTTGTAGTCCGCCTCCCAAGTTCTGCTGGTATGTTGATATGTTCATGGTGCGTTTTGCTGTATTGCAGGGTGTTCCTACTGCATGAGAGGTGGGTCCACCTGAAGAACTCACTGCAGACCAGCAGCCAGGCCAGGAGATTTGGGGAGGTGCCGGCACAGCTCAGGTCACCCACAGGCATGAGTCTGTCTGAGGTGGGGGAGGGCAGACTGCTGCAGGAGTGTCTGAGCTGGGTACAGAACAAAGAGGTGGGGCTGGGCTGAATTGTGCCATGATTGTTTTAACTATTTTTGTTTGTACTATGGAAGTCTTTTTCTTTTTCAAAAGAATTCTACATTGTCTCAATAGAAGTTACCAAAACTTGAAGGTATTGAGAAGAATCGCTGCTTAGTTAGTGTTGAATAGGTTCTTTGTCTTTGGTTATAATCAGTATATAGGTGTATGTGCTATGATGATGATGATGATGATGTGTATTTTGGACAACTGGTAAAAAGGGAAGTACTATGTCTTTGCTAGCACCCTGTCATTTATCACTCTTAGTCATTTTACACTGGAGAAGAACACATTTTCAGCATCTTATGTCTTCTCTACTGTAGTCGATTCTCGAAAGTGGCGAGTACGGCAGTGACCTCCCCAGTGTACAAAGACTTCTAGAAGAACACAGAGAACAGCACAGAGTCATCACTGAGTTCAAGGCCAAGGTCGACCAGTGCATAGCTAACAAGGTATGGGTGGTAGAGTCTTGTACGTGTATGTCTAGTATTGTTGTTTGCATCAAGTTAATGTGTGGATTTAACAACAGTTGTTCATGCATTTTTACCTTACTACAGGTATTGCCTGTCATTGTGTACAGCTATGATGAACTTCCTTTTTTGTATCGTTTCTTCCAGTCCAAGCTCATGGGACCCAAGTACCATGTATACTGTGAACAGCTTGCCAAGCTTGAAGAGGCTTATCCCAAACTCATGGTAGGTCCAAACTTTCTGAACTTATATGATACAGCAAAGTAGATGTATGATCCATAGTAACTTTCTTTCAATAGATAGTTGTCCTCATCATCATCTTATGTACTGCTTAGCCCGATTTACATCGGATTACTAGCAGCTGTCCTTAGTAGCATCTATTTGATCTAGGTTTACTAGAGTGGATAGTTCATCAAGTCCATTGTTTGTTGAAGGACATTTTAATCAGAATTCGGTATTTGCTAGAATTTGACATGTTTGATTCACCTGAGAGAACCGCCTCTATCTTTCCAGGACATGTCTCAGAAGCGGCTGCAGTACCTGGAGTCTCTGCTAGAGTTCATCCGCCTGGCGACCCTGGAGCTGATGTGGCTGAACGAGCGGGAGGAGTTGGAGCTGGCGCGGGAATGGGACGACAAACCGGTCAACATCACCGAGCTCGACCAGCACTACGAGGTGGGGCGGACGGTCGGATTAGTCGTACACAGTCTGGGTTTGCCAGTCCCTTACAGATCAAACCTGTTGAGGGTGGACTGTTTAGGTTGAAAAACTTGGAATTAGCTAATCAGAATTGATGTCATATTGTGTGTTACAAACAAATATGATCTGTGCTTGCCACAGGGATTTTTGTTCCCTATTACCGTAGCAGACCTCAGACATATTTCTTAACTGTGTACTGCTACATGTACATTGGGAATAACTGATGTTTATCTTGTGAATTATGTCTCTGACATCCTCAATGAGACTGATTTTTTTTCTGTCTGAGTTATGATTCAAGTTAGTTGTCTTGTCTTCTTCCTGTTGTTACTTTTGGTTCCTCATAAACAGAGTTGTCAAAAGTAACACCTTGTTAAACAGGTACATGCGCACGTGACAAAGACAGACTCCCTGCGACAAAGCCACCTGTCTTTCTTGTATAGAAAACTAGTGGTAGGACACGAAGCTTTTGTACATTCAGCCTTTTTATACCCATAAGGCATTACTAAACATTTGTGCAGGCTTTTTAACAAATGAAGTGTTAAGATGACATCATATCACAGAGCTGTACCAAATTGGTATTTTTAGAAAATTTGTTGTTCAAACAAATCTACTTTGTTACTGTCTGGCCCAGTCAATGTATTAGTTTTATGTTTGTGTTTAGTTTTACCTTTTACTGTTTACCCTTTTGTTTTACCAATGTGTGGACTTTACTTGAAACTAGACTACACCAATTGCCCTCTTCTTTGTAGGACACTGATTTCCCACTTCTTTGTAGGATTATGAATTGGTTTTTGTTGTTTTTAGCACTGGAAAAATGGTGTCTCGATCTCACCTTTTTTGTTTGCTTCCCCCTCTCTTCTTCCTTCCCTCCAGACCAAAGAAAAGAGTCAAGCACAGGTTGGGCACCTTGTCCCATATCTTCTTGTGCCATACTTACCTTACGATTGCTATGTTTAGATTACTCACGAGCACTGGCATGGATGTTTGAGCAATGCACTTGTTTCTCTCTCTGCATGCGTGCATGTCTATGCCTGGCTGTACATGTGACCCTTGCATGGCTGTCATTGTTCATACAGGAACTACAACTTCTTGAGGTTTGTCTTGTAGTCAGCCGAGAAGCCTGTTATCCTCATCTCAGCATGTAGTAGACTGCTTGTAGTTAGTTGTACCAAAGGCTAATTTGTGCTTTACTAGTCAATGTTACAGTTACTGTATGTAATGTCCTTGAACGAGCATTCTTTGCCACGCAGTGTGACTTTTGACCTGCAAGTAATTTTGCCCCACTGTTCCCTCGCAAACAACAGGGAGATAGAATGAAGGTAGAATTTACTGGGAACTTTACGGGAAAAAAAAGAGTCATACATGTGTTTGAGAGAAGAAAAAAATGTTTGTTTTCACTGAGACAGTAAGGACCGTTTTGTAATGATGTTGACTTTCGCGCTTTAGGTGTTGATGCAAGAACTGGAAACCAGAGAGGCTCAGTTCAACTCCCTACAGGAGAGAGGAGAGGCACTAGCTCTGGCCAATCACCCTGCTGCTAAATCTATAGAGGTAAGTGTGCTGTGTGGCTTGTTCTAGTCTGTAGATAACTAAACAAAAGCTAGATTTATTAGAGTAAAGAATAAAAGGAAAACCTTGCCTTTTGAAATGTCTTTATGCCTGAGACTTTGAACATCATTCTAGTATAGATGTAGTACTATTCTGAATGTATCTCTGTGCATCCTGTTAAAATGCTGCCCCCCTCCCCCATCAGGCTTACATGGCAGCTATGCAGACCCAGTGGGCGTGGCTCCTGCAGCTGACATCCTGTCTGGAGCAGCACACCAAGCACACTGCCAAGTACCAGCAGTTCTTTGCCGAGGGCAGAGATGTTGAGACCTGGCTGAAGGAGCAGGCGGACCTGTTAAACACCAAGTACAACAGGACAGACCTTCCACTCAACGAGGCGGAAGACCTGCTGCAGGAAATCTTCGTAAGGAGACTTGAATCTTGCTATCTTGAATCTTGAATCTTGCTATCAGTATTTAGTACAGGGTGCAAGCTGCTTTATACATTGTTGGTAGATCTGTGAATACATTTGCTGTTAATGTTATGAATTCCAAGCACAACACTGAAAACATCAAAACCACTTCTTATGATAATTGGTCCCAGCTTTAATGAATCACTCTTAATTTCTAGGAGATGAAGGAGAGTCTGGTGGAGTTTAAGGACCACATCAGTTCTCTGGCGACCAACAGTAAGCAGGTTCTCCCTCTCAAGCAGAGGCGGCAGAAAAACACCTCCAACATCACCGTTAAGGCCGTCTGTTCATACAGGCAGATAGACGTAAGTAATCAATGTGTTTACAACCTGAAACTGAATTTTTGAAGTTCTAGTTTACACAGGTATCATGTAGATAAATGTACAAACATATCCATTGATGGAGAGAATTTTTCACTGCAATTTCTTGTTTGATGATAAATCAGAAGGTGGAAAGGAGCAAGTAGCAAGGGTTGCCACAGAATGTCTACATACCTAGTCAGTATAACCCATTGATAGTGAAAATGAACTTTAACTTCATTGATATTGAATGACACGTCTTTCCTTGCACAGCTTTCATTGAAAGAGGGAGATGAGTGCATTCTCATAGACAACAGTCAGAAGACCAAGTGGCAGGTTATCACCCCAACTGGAGAGGAGGCTTTTGTTCCTTCCGTAGTGTTCACCATCCCACCTCCCTGCTCAGAAGCTGTGGACTATGCAGAAAGGTGAGGATTTCCCCTAAAAAATCTGCAGTCTCTTCAAACAAAGCTCTTGGTCTATTAACAGATAATCATAGTACAATTAATCATCCTTCTACAGAAATGTCTGTGATGAATGTTGCAGTTCACTGACTAGTCTACATGTATGTTCATGACTACTAAAAACAAAATAATCCCTTGCATTAATGTACATTTTATTGTGATATTCAGACTGGAGGTTCAGTACCAGGAGCTGCTGTCCCTGTGGAAGACACGTCACCTGACCCTGAAGCACACGGTGTCTGCCCAGCAGATCTCACAGAGAGTCCAGGCCATCAAGAACATGAGTCTGGAACAGGTACGGACAGGAGTAGTGTCCACTGGCCTTACTGCTAGGCCATTGATGCCATTAAAGTATGAAATGTGTCAGTACAATGGAAATAGCTGTTAACCTTTGGTGCTTGTAATGTACAGTACACAGTAAGTATTAAGAATGATTCATAATCCAAGCATGAATGTTATTCTGAGTTGGGAAAAGTTAAACTGTTCTCCAAGTCAAAAATACTGGAAGAAGACTAAGCGAGACTGTTGAAAATTCTGTTAAGTACAATTTCCTTATTTGAATTTTTCCACAAGCATGAGTATCAGCTAATTATTAATATTGCTCTATTTCTGGTCCTTGTCCAGTTCTCCCTGCTGGACCCTGCTGAGCGAGATGAGATGCTGAGGTCTCTGCTGGAGGACCTGGAGCAGCTGGAGAGGGAGAACCAGGAGAGCGGCACGGTGGACCCCGCCCTGCTGGCCCAGCTCAGGGCAGACGTGGAGGCCTGTCAGAGGAGGCTCCAGGACCTGGCAGAACAGGCTGGGAAAGGTCAGTCCTGTCAGAACTCTGCTAGTATTTATCATATTGGTTTGTTAGTGATCCTGGTATTACAGTAACTTTATTACGGATGATACACTTACAACAGCTGTTGTACCGGTATTTACTATGTAACAGGAAACACATTTACAAGAAAATGAGGCATTTTGCTGAAATAGCTATGTTTGGTGCAGCTTTGTGTCACCATTCCATCTGAAGTGATAGTGGCCCACCTTTGTTTTGTCATCTAGGTTTTATTTCTTTGCTGGTCATTATGATTATAACGTATTGAATGTATTTGTTATTTTACTTCTATCTTACAGAAGCCGTCATGGCGGAGAAGGTTGACGAGCGGGCGCGCCAGCTGAGCTCACAGGTCGGCTCCTTCGTGCAGACGCTGGACACAGCGGAGCAGAAACTGATGATCAGGATCCACACACCCCTCCCCAGGGACATCCCAGGGGTCGAGGAGGTCGTGCAGGAGTCACAGGTCAGGGGGCAAGGGTCATACAAGCTACATTTGGCATTTGTTGATGGCAATATGCATAAAGATGACAGCTGGGGAAAACATTTCTCTTACTGCACTGCATGCTTTCTTTATACAGTAACTGTAAAATGAACCTTACAGCTTGTATATTGTTATAACAGTCATGCTGAGGTTTGTAAAGTGATATCAGCAATCGGAAATTCAACAACCATAACACCAAACATTATGTCCCCTTTTTTCTGCCTGCAGGAGTTTGTAGACAACCTGAATGTCCAGTCCAGCCAGTACAAGCAGCTGCGCTCGTCCTCAGAGGATCTGATTCGAACAGCGAAGCAGTCCGAGTCCCTGGACCGACTCAAGTCTCAGGTCACCATCATGGTCCAGAAGTGGGACCGGGTCTGGAACCTGTCTCATATCTACCTGGACAAGTGAGCACTTCAACATCATCTACTGATATTCTTGACTTTGATAATCATCATCATCATCATCATCATCATTATTGTACCACTGCAGAACAGTCAACGACACGTTTAATCCAGGCCTGTCAATAGAAAGCCATATCAGCCATTGATTTTCAAACTTTCATTACTAATCTTGACTCCCATAATGCACCCTCAATGTTAACAGCTTAGAGAATATAATGTGACTACATATCCTATGCACAGCCATGTCCAAACTCAAGTCTGATGAAAAAGTACTGGTAAGAATTTTTGGAAAAAGAGCTAGAATATTTTAAAATCTCTCCAGGACGAAGACGGTGCTGGTTGTGATGAAGTCCATGGAGGACGCGGACAAGTTTGTGTCTATCCATGAGGTCACCCTGTCTGCTGCCCCAGGTCTGCCCTGTGAACCTCCAGCCATCGACAAGCAGAAAACAGACCTGCAGGTCAGTAACATGAGGGGGAAAGTGAAGCTAACATTTGACAGACAATCTTGCCCTTTCATTATAGTAATTGTGCGTTCATGAGAATTTTTTCTATGAACAAATGGCAACTGGTAATGCATCATTTTATCGACTGATCCTCTCATAAACAGCCTCGCAATTCAGTCTTCCAATACGTCCCCAAAACTGCTTTTCCATAGTACTTATTTGGCTAAGCACGGTACTCCACCCACTAGAAGGCTTACATGTACCTGGTTACTTTCTTTACAGGAGACACAGCGGGAAACCATTTCCCTGCAGCCGAAGCTGGAGCAGCTCAGACTGGACATCGTGAATGTGAAGGACTCAGGCACACAGATGACCCCTGACCAGGAGGACCCGGACGCCGCTCGGGTGGAGGAGGATGCGGATGACATGAGGAAGAGATGGCAGACTGTCCTGCAGCAGACAGAGGACAGGTGAACTCACGGCCTCTTATGTATCTGAATGTGTCTGAGTTTCATTGACATTTCATTACAGTCTGGTCTTACACAGCTTGTACAAAACTTGTGTGTCATGCCTAAAGGCAGTTTGCTGTTAAATGCAAAACAAACATACAAAGAGAGAAAGTACTGACTACCCAGACTTGCTGTTGAGATTTCCATGTCACATTGGAGGCAAAATTCGGTTATTCAACTTTGCAACAGAAAACTTTACACCTGCATAGTACCAATTGTTATTACATAATGGGGTCTGATAACAAAGTAGTTTATCCCTGTTTGTTGATAAAGATTGGACCGCATCAACACGGCTGCCAACACGATGGACAGCTACCAGCGGGCGTGGCTGCAGGAGACGCGCTGGTTGGCTGAGATGGAGCGCAGGCTGGCGGAGCAGGAGGCCATGCCCTCCGACCCACGCATGCTCATGCAGAGGCTGAATGCTACCAAGGTGGGTCCTCTGTTTCCTCCTGACAATTTGGTGACAGATTTTACTCTGCTTGATGTACATGTGGTGGAATTGAGCTGTTCTCTTTCCCTTTAAATTCAACTCAACACCAAATCTCTTAAGTTATAACATGATTTGACCATTTTACAACTTTGTTCATTCCTTTGTTGTCTCTGATCACAACTTCCCCTACTTTGCTGTCCAGGACCTGGTGAATGAGCTAGACCAGCACCAGCCAGCTGTTGAGGAGACCACAAGGCTGGGAGAACAGTTCATCCAACAGGCCCAGGTATGTCTTATAGTTCACAAGGTCAAACATAAAATGGGGTGTAAGTCATGTAGTACTTGTTTCCATTCCAGTAGAAATTTCTCACTGGGCCATCAGATGCCACTGGTCAGTCGTGTTGCACAGTGAATTGTGGAATGAAAACAAAAGTTTCTTCCTTTGTTCTACTTCTTCGTCTAGGTGTGAAATTTGCAGCCATTAGCCCAGTATTTATATGTACTCAGTACAGTTCATTACCTCCCATTTGGCAGAAATCCAATTTTACCTGGTTCTTTGGCCACTGGGGTATGAAATTGGTTCATCTTGACCTTTTAACCTTGCCTAATGAGTGGTCCGTGCCAAAAATATCAATGTTAAGAACTGTTCATTAAAGTAACTCAAGCAAAATTGGTCTCATAACTTGTATATATGGTCTGGTTTTAGTTGATTTCTGAATGTTAAGTACATGTATAAACAGTACTAACCGCTACATGTATGTCTATCTGTTATGCAGAACATTTTGCATGTAGTGCAGAATTGATATGTAAGATTGCAAGACTTGTTGGACCTGAAATTACTTTTGAACATAGGACTACACTGTGAGACTACATTAGCTTACATAATACATATGGATATTCAAACAGCACTCCCATGTTTCAAATCAGTGTTGTTGCAAAGGCCAAAATGATAGATTTCTTTAGTTCAATGTTGGTACAATGCCCTAATGATAGTCATCCATTGGCAATGATAGTCATACATTGGCACCAGTGTCTGTACTTTCTACTTTTCAAGTTTCCACATTCCACCATGTTCCTCAGGACTATGACAGCCAGCTTGAGCAGTTCCGCTCCAGCCTGAACTCTGACCTCAGCGATGCTGCCAAGAAGCCAAAGATCCAGTCCAGCGCAGACATTGTGGGACAGCAACTCGATGACCTCAATAGGCGATACCGTGACCTTGTTGCCAAGACGACACGTAACCTCCAACTAATGAACTCATCCCTTGCTGCTGAAGAGAAACAGGTACAGCCTTGTTGGTTCACCTGCTTTTGCCATACTTTTCATTTCTATTGTCTGTTCTGTGTACATTTCTGTTGTCTGCTTTGTACATTTTCTTGCATTACTCGTACTGCTTTACTTTGCATCATCATCATCATCTTTTCAAGGGCTCATCTCAAAATGTTGAAATTGTCACCAAAGCAGAACAGTTTGGCACTTTGAGATGATTTCATTTTTGAGATGGTCTCTGAAGTTTTTTATTAAGAATTAGTTAATAAGATTAGATAAGTCTAATATATATAGTTTTATTATAGCAATTTAAGTTGCAAATTTTCAGTCAATCATCAATTGTTCATGTGCACTGTTGAATCATAGTTAATGTCTTTTGTTTCTGATTTGTTTGCTTCCATGATTTTGTAATCTGAATGTTATTAATGGTTATATCAGTAGGCATATCAAGAATATGTACCACATTAGAGACACTGCCCAATTGATTTTCACAGGATGTTGTACATATACAGTCATGACAATGTGTGCAGATTTGGTTGAGCTTTGTAGAGACATAAGAGTCACCCATTTTTGAATCTACAAATTACAAAATTTTGCAATTGAATTTTGTCAATATTCAAATCATATTGTATGATTATATTAATATTCATATTTAACGGAAAGTGAATTCTCCACTCAATTGGGCAGTTCCTCCAACTAGTGTTCCATTCTTGCCTTGTGTGTACTTCCTACCTTCTGTGCCTAGCTATCACATACTGTGTGCTTCTTGCATCGTAGCTGCTTCTGGGTGCTTTTCTGCAAACGCTTTACAAGCCTTCCTGTCTTGTGCTGCAGTCTGTGATATTCTGCGCTTCTGTGTTGTGACACCATGCTTCCTGTCTTGTGATTACTGCGTGACGTGGCTTCTCGCTACCGACCCATTTCTAAGTGTTCTCTACCTCAGGAGCATCTATCTTCCCCATCTCCTGTCAATCATAGACGTGTAACCATGGCAATCCAATTCTCGGCTTCATAATATCAAAGTTCCCTTGATCTTAAATTCCAGTGCGTACCTCCTCTGTCACCACCACTAGAGAGACCCTTACTTTGGTTTCTCACAGACACACAGTGGATCAAGAGCTAATTTGAGACACCTACAAGGTGCTCATGTATATTATAGTGGTTTACTCACTTTTTTTTATTTCAGAGTTGATTTCGTGCACTCCCAACTGATGTTCTTCCATTGCGAGATTTCACTTGCCTTTTTTTATACTCATTCTATCAGTCATTCCTCATTTCCGCAGGACATATTTCAAAAGTCCCTCCATTCCGGTAACGGTGAATGTTACTTCATGAGGCCTCCCTCTCCTCCATAGTCATGCAGATTAGTACTGGTGTACCGTAGGAGACTTTTTGTGGACTTTTGACATGTACATGTAGATGCACTTTGAGAAGCTGTAGTAGCTTCTTCATTCCCTTGCCACTTGGGAGAGGGTGGGGTGACATGCGTGTAGTGTTCTCCTGTCCTCTGCTGATGTTGTCTGAAAGAATAAACAGGCATAGTCAACATGACTCACCCTGAGGAAAACTGCCTTAATAGAACTTTAATTTCCTATGTAGATGTGCCATCTCAGTTCTACTTGCACAAATATTATACCAAGAAATTTCAATAAAATAAGAAACTTCAAACAAATAAGGAGTGAGCATTTATCACTGTAATGCCCACTGTAATCTCAAGGGCAAGTTTATTTTCAAGGTCAAATCTTGGGTGCCATTACGGAGGGATGTGCTATGGATTCTGAGGGAAGTTACAGACATGCTTCTGCTGGTTGACCAGGTTGTACAAAAATGGGTATGGAGGCTCAAGTTACCTCAGTCTGATTCCCCTATGAGAACATTGTGAAGGTGATGGTATTAGAATTAATGCAATTGAAATAAAGTAGAAGCTGGACAAGCAAGCCTAGCCCTAGCCCAGGAAAAACTGAAGGTGCATTTTTTGTGTGGTTGTGACGGTGGTGGGATACGTAGAAAATTGTCAGCCGCAAACATTTATCACCACTATTTGGATCTCAGTGGTCAGCCTTAGAAACGTGTAACCATTTTTCCAAACGTGTAACCCATTTCCCTTTAACTTTGTGATAATATGTCTGGGTTCAGTAAAATAAGCTAGCAACAGGGTTGGTATGGCCATGGACATTTCACATATCATACGTAATGCAAAGTCATGGCAGTTAATCTGGGGATCGGGACCATAACGTTACATGGCAGAAGTAACAGTGAGATTCCAAGCCCTACCTCACTGGCACATTCTTCACATTGCTCATTTGTAGGCAGATAGATAGAAGCTCCAACTTGTTTGAATTTACTGCCCCGATCCAATAACTAGTTTTTTTGTGCACATTTTATTACCAGCCATACGAACCCTGAAGTCATGCCAACTAACATATTATGTCAGCAGCCATTCATGCCCGAATATAATCAATAACATGCCCCCCTCCCCCATCGTGAACACAAAAAAACAAAATGGTTGCTCCCTTGGCAACCGTGGTCATGTGACCCACTTGCTGGTGTGCTGTTGGTGGATGCATGGCTCTGCCGGTAACACTGCTTCTGGCTGCTGTTGCTGGGCTGTACAGTTATTGTTACACAGTAGTGTTAATGCATGACAATCACAAGTTTGCCTTGAACTCTGCAGACCCTTAGTTTATATTTTTAGTGCCTGTTAGTTGTCACCCTGCCTGTAGACCACACTACTGTCCTGTCCCTAATGTCCTAGTCTAACCCCCCTCCCACCCTGCTATCTCATGTTACCTGACCCTATAAGTTGTTTACTTGTCCAATTGTGTGGTAACAACTGTCTATTGTTGCCCCTGATAGAAGGAGGGAGATTCCCCCATGCCACTTTCTCCCGAGATAGAGGATAGGAAATCGAAACCTAATCTGCCCATCTTGGCGGTGGAGGAAGAAGAAATGCAGCTGGATGATGAAGAACAGGATATATCAGAACTCACCAAACCTCTCTTTGATACTGCTACTGTGGGAAAGAGAAGGCCTTCCATCAAATCAAAAGCTGAAAAAGATGAGAGAACAAAACTCATGTATGCAAACATCGACACCCTTGAGACACTTAGATTGGAAACTGTCAAAGTAGAGGAAATTGCTGAAAAAGAGAAGTACAACTATGGTAAAGTTGAGAAAGATTTAGTTGTAATTGAAACAACAAAAATACTTCCCCCTCAGTCCAGAAAACCCCAGACAGCTAGGGCTATGGCTTCAACTGTGGATGCCTTACCCAAAAGTCCTAAACTTTTAGCAAAAACAGTCAGAAGCAAGCCTGACAACAAGGGTAAAAAGAAGTCAAATGCAAAAAAGGCAAAAGCAGGAGAAACTGCTGCAAAACAAGAAAGTGTAACACCAAAACAGGAGGATTCGAAGGATGCAGAGGCAACAACAGTTAAACCTGAAACCATAGCAAAGACAGTAAAAGCTAAAGCAGAAGAAAAACAAACCAAAGTAGACAGAGCTCCATCAGTCCCTGTAGAACCAAGTGGAGCTGTAAGGCCACCTGTCAAAGGGCGAGAAAGGACCTCTAAGGGAGAGAAAGATATCAAACTTGAGAGTCCTGTAACTGAGGCAGTAACAGACATGGACATATCAGAAATAGAGCAGAAAGATTTTACACAAGAAAATGTTCAAGAAATAGGGCAGGCTGTGCCAAAAGAGACTGAACAACAAAATGTAGAAACAGTTAGAAAGGATAAAGAGGCCAAGATGGAGGGTCCTACAGGAGATATTGAGGAGGCCACAGAAATGGAGGTGTCAGAAACAGAACGGCTCGTATCACCAGATGTAGTTTCAGGGACAGTTAAAGATGGAAAGAAAAGTAAGCCTCAGACTGGTGAACAGGGTAGGGAAGGTTCCTCACTAGCTGTAGGGGAATTACATACAGGGCAGGTGTCAGAAGTGGGAGAAGTGAAGCCAGAACTGGTGTCTGAACCCAGGGAAAGTGAAGTGCAGCAAACCACAGAACTGGGAAAGGGGGGTGAAGAGAGGAGTTTTCAAGGACATAGTGGTTTCAGTTCAGATGTCCCCACAGTTACAGATACTGAAGATGCTACACATACTAGTGCTGTAAAAGATTCTGAATCAGTTACTCCTGGGGCAAAGGCAACTAAGAGTAAAGCTGAAACTAAGGAACCCCATGAAGAAGACACAGTGATGGAGGTGTCAGAAACAGAACAGCTTGTGTCACCAACTGTAGTTTCAGAAACTGTTAAGGATAATGGAGAGGAAGTGATGCCCCAACATAGTGCACAAGGCAGGGAAGGTCCCTCACTAGCTAAAGATTTGCATAAAGGGCAGGTGTCAGAAATGGGAGAAGTGAAGCAAGAACTTGTGTCTGAAGCCATGGAAAGTGAAGTGCAGCAAACCTCTGAACTCGTAAAGGGTGGTGAAGGGAAGAGTTTAGAAGGGCACAGTGGTTTCAGTTCAGGTGTCTCCCACAGATACTGTAGAAGATGATTCTGCAGCAGTTACACCTGCAGCAAAGACAGCTAAGAGTAAAGCTAAGGAATCCTTGGAAAAAGGCTCACCAAAGAAGAAGCCACTGTTCTTTCAGTCAGCTGTCCTTCCCAAGAAGTCTAAGAAGGCTAAAGCCACAGTGAAGTATGTCAGTGAGACAGGTTCCATCACCCACCCACAAAGTGGTGATCACATCTCGGTCTTCCAAGCCGTGCAGTCCGGAGTTGTCAACTTGGAAACTGGACTGTCCATGCTCAGGGAACAAGTACAGTCAGGAGGACTCATTGACGGGAAAACAAAACAGAGGCTGTCTATTCCAGAAGCTCTCAATACAGGACTTATCAATGAACAGATAGCAACCTTTTTGACAAATGGGGTAACAGAACAGGAAAAGAAAGCTGTGGCTGAATCTAAAAAGTCTGTTGCTACAGAAGCAAAAGTGGTGCAGTACAGAGTTGATAATGGTTGTGTAGTAGACTCTGAAAGTGGACAGAAATTCACTCCACTGGGTGCCACAAAGCTTGGTATAATTTCCCAGGAAGAGATGGCAATGATCTTAAAAGACCAGATGGAAATTCATGGTGGCATCATTGACCCTGACACAGAGGAAGTGCTAAATGTACCTGAGGCTCTGTTAAAAGGATTGATTGACCATGACACTGCAAGCAAACTAGTCCAGAAGAGGGAAACCCTTCCCTATGCAACTTACCAAATGACCCCAGAGTCCTCTGCATCTGAAGATGAAGAAGAGAAGAAAGTACTCCCTAAGGCTTCTCCAAGAAAGGAGCCAGTACGAGGGAGAAAACCACGTACTGGCTCCTCAGGATCGCAGCCTTCTTCACCAGTGAAGCCGTCACCGTTGCCCTCACCAGGAGTTGGACCACGGCCTACAGCATCTGGGGCTCTGCCTGCATCTTATGGAGCTGTTTCACCCAGCAGAATTGATCAGGCAAAGGCCAGAGCAAGGCAGGCACAACGCACAATGTTGGACACCAACATTGCTGTCATTGAGGATCACAATCTCGTACATCCCTCCACAGCATCAAAGGTCAGGCAGATGATTGAAACAGGGGGCTATATCGTGGAGCCACGAGCTGGTAAGAAGTTGAGCGTAATGGAGGGGCTGGAATGGGGACTTATTGACCGGGACACCGCATTTCAAATGACTGCTGTTGAGATTGCCATGGGCAAGCCTGTGAATATCAGAAAGTACACATGGCTAACTGTAGCTGAGGCAAAGAAGTTGGATGCCTTGGAGACAGCCAGGAAGGGTTTCATTGATCCAAACACTAGAGCTAGAATTCACGTCTCAGAGGCACACAGAAGAGGGCTGGTGGATGACTTCACCTTGTCGTCTATCTTGGAGGTTGATGCAGCTCGAGGAGGTGTGCAGAATCCAGAAACAGGAGACACTCTGTCAGTTCTGGAGGCAGCTCAGAGGAACATCATTGACAGGGCAACTGCAGAGAAGCTGCTTCATGTCCAAGCAATGACAGGTGGTATCACACACCCTGACACGGGCGAGAGAGTCTCTGCCTTCGAGGCTCTTCAGGAGGGAATCATCAACACAGAACTGGCCATGGCCTTACTCCATGCTGAGGCACAGACAGGGGGACTGGTCCTGCCAAGAACCCACAAGAGAGTCTCCGTTGCTGAGGCTGAAAAGCAGGGTGTCATCCTGAAGGAGACAGCAAGGAGGCTTCATCAGATCCAGGCAGCAACTGGGGGCATTATTGACCCAGGTGGGGGGCCAAGGGTTCCTGTGCTGAAGGCCCTGGACATGGGACTCATCCGGGAGGAAAATGTGATGAGACTCCTGAAGGCAGAAGCTCGGAGTGGCGGCATTGTCGAGCCTCAGTCAGGACAGAGACACAACTTACAGGAGGCAGTGGAGAAGGGCCTCATTAGTGACACCATGGCTGATTTGATTGAGTTGTCCACTCCAAGTCCAACAGTTAGTCCTTCACCTAGCCACTTCTTTGGACAAGATCAACCATGGCAAGAGGCCAAAGAGAAGCTTCAGCAGGAGAAGCTGCTGGTAAGGGCTGCTGAGGAAATAGAACAAAGAGGTCTGACCCCAGCAAAAGGACCTATATCACCTGAGGCAGAAGCCACATCCACAGTCTCAGGCAAACTACTGGGATTTACTACAGACCATGGTCAAACTGATGTGACTCCAGTAGAAGCTTTAGTGGATGAGACTACAAAAGAAACAAGTGAGCCTGCCAGGGATGAAGATTCCTCCATCAAAGGGCAAGCTGTAAAACGCAGACGATCCTTGCATAAAAAGAAATCGCCAGAAGCAGAAAAGACAAAGAAGGTACCACCTCCGCTGAATGTCCCAGCAGCAGCTCTTACAACAGCTACTGAAGGAGAGAGAGTCAAAGGCCAACAGCCTGATCTTCTCACAGGGACAGAACAAGAAACAGCGATGGAAACAGAGGAGACCATGCCACCCTCAGAAGAGTCCCAAGGAGCTACAGCTGAACCCACTGCAGAAAACATTGATGAGTTGCTGAAGGCAGGCTGGAAGGTCAGAGTCCGTGCCCCAAAGCCTGACGACCAGGGGGAAGCGATGGAGGTTGAAGAGAGTGTTCAGGCACTGCTTCACGAGGAAGGGATGGATTATTCCCAGGCTGCCACGTCTCTTACTGAGTCTGCTGAAATGATGGACACCTCGGAAGAACCTGCTGGTCAAGCCGACAGGAAATGGCGAGTTGTGGTAAGAGGAACTAACGAGGGAGAGGCAGGCAAAGATGTGGACGAAGAAGGAGCCTTACAGTCAGCAACAGAGCAACCGCCCCCTGCCTTTGGAAAAGCAGCTGTCTCTGAAGTGGATGTTGTAGAGGGGAAGAAGTCAGCTTCTAAACAAACTGCACAAGAGCAGGACCCAGCTTGGAGGGTTCTGGTGAAGGGGTCTAAAGAGGACGAAGATGCAGAAAACTTGGAGCCAGTTTCTGGGGCATCTTTGCAAGGTGTGACACAAGGAGCATCTGACTTGCAAAGGGTTGGAGAAGGTTTGCAGAGAGCTGCAGTCATAAGTCAATTGGCTACTGAGGTCTCAGATCAAGTTGACTCAGCATCAACACCTGGAAAGCAGGTGGAACAGCTGCGGGAAGTCAAAGAAGCTGACAAAAGCAGTGTTGAGGATGTTAGTGTAAAATCAACTGATCAGAAAGTACGGCTAGACACATTAAAGGGGGGTCTAAGGGATAATGCTGAGATGAAAATACAGGAAGGGGAAGGAGGGATTGTAGCTTCAGATGGGAGGGAAGGGATAGATCAGGAATGGAAACAGCTAGTACAAGCAGCAGACCAAACAGTAACACCTGATACATCATTGGCAAATGTTTCAATGTCTAAAACTATGGTGCTAAAACAAGATGAACAAAAGTCTGATGAATCTGCAAAGATTGCACAGGATAGTGAGGATTTTAAAGTTTCTGCTCAAAACCAGGTCAGAAGTGGGGAGAAGTCAACTCAGCATGATGTGTCGACAGAGGAAAAGTTCACCCAGTCGGGTGCAGGGCAGGAAGAAAAGTTCACACAGCATGATGCCAGCCTAAGCACTTCAGCCACACAAACTTCCCCAGTAAAAGACACAGCGACAGAGGATAGCTTTACTCAAATGTCCCCTCCTGCACAACAGCAGGGACTGAACTGGAAAATGGTTGTAAGGGGTTCAGAAGGTGAAACTCTAATGGAAGGCTCCTCCTTTCCCTTCACGGAACAATCTACTCCCTCTAAAGATAGCGACAGTCTTGCTCAGCCTTCTCAGTCCCTGTTAGAATCTCAAGCTGACAGACAAGCTGATTTAAAGACCTCTCCTGAGAAGAAGGTGGAGGAACTGTCTGCCTCCCTGGTAGCAGGCCTGGTTGGTCCTCTTGAAGGCAAGGACAGACAAGAGGCCCCCATGGATGCACAAGGGTCCATAGTCAGCCCTGAGCCACCCTCCAAACCTCCCACTGCAGATGCTGCTACAATGTACTCCACATCAGTAGAAATGGTAGGAAACAGGGACTTAGCTTGGTGTGAGTTGGGTTGGTTTGGCTGCTGGGGTGACCTGGTTTTGTTGTTACTTATCACAAACAAGTCTGTTCTCTTTCAGGTTTAGACATCAGCACAAAGGCTCATCTGTGGGATATTTTTTTGTTTTTTTGAGTTTTTGTTCATGAACTTGTCTACTTTCACAGGCTGTAATGGCAGGAATCTTGCAGGAGATGGATGCCCTATTTGACATGGATCTTGACGCAGACAGTCTGCAGGAAGAACCTTTGATAGTCCCAGAGAAAGCTATCCTGGTTTATCACGCTTTTGTACCTAATGCTCGGCCACCTAAAGGCACTGTGGACTTGTCTGAACTCCTCCCGCCACTTGAACTTGAAGTTGGGAAGGAGAGCATGGGACCTGTAGTCGATGAGGAGCTCATAGTTCCCCAGACGGCTCAGAACAGTTACCATGCTTTTATGGCTTCACTGGGGGAGCGGCTAAAGCAATCGTTGATGGTGGGTGTTTTGTGTTTGAGCATGGAGGTGATGGGTCATGGGTCAAAGGTCAAGAATGATCCTGGCATCAAAGGGTAAAGGTGGAAAGGAGTGGTTAAAGGTATAAGTTCCAATTTTTGTATTTGTCTTGAAATGGGACAAAGGTTATTGCCAACAGTGATACTATATATTGTTTTATTGCATGCCTTTTGAGGTGATGGCATTACTGTTCTACAGCTTATTTGTACTGATCCAAAAGTTGTATTTTTTTGCAGGCGGAAATTTCAAGGGCTTTGCTTAGTGGGAACAACATAAGGGATGCACATGTATGATTCAGGGTTCTGGGAACAGATTTTTCCTGTCTTGTGCAGCAGTTAAAGCAAAATTATCATAACAGCTCTTCATGATAATGAAAGTCATCTTATAAGAAAAATTGTTTTTCACCGGTACCCATAAATTTACCTTACCTAAGAATTGATGCACAAAAATAAAGCATACTGATCACTGAGTGATGATGTCAATATCACCTACAAATTCTGAGTATTTGTCCATGGAGTGCATTTCTTGTTTTGTTCCCAAGAAGACAATGATGACAACCAAGATGTGTTTCTTTATGGTGTAAGGTGCTTATGTATCTTAAAAATGTTCGGGAATCAAGGTACTATAAGATGTATTGTGATGTCCAGGGGCTTCTTGCAGCTCAAAAAAGTCAGCAAATTTGATTTGAGCTGAAGTTGAAATAAGGTTTGTAATCTTGTATGAGACAAACAGTACATCTGCAATAACATGGCTATGTAAGAAGCCCTTGTCCTTAAAAGTATGTTATCATAATAAATGTTACATAATATATATGACTGTTTGTACTGCTCTTCATGAAACTATTTCATGTTCACTTGGTATGTTTGTATGTACTGCTTTTGCTGAGTCCTTCTCATAACAAATTATACTTGTAGCACTGCTTCCATTTGCAAAATTGAATGCTCTTGCAGAATTTTTACAACTATCGGTTTCAAAATTTAAATAGATATTGTTGCCAAAACTTTACGTCCATGAACCTGACTGTGGAATGGGTGTTTTCAGGATGCTGAAGGCAAACCCACAGCCATGGCCACAGCTGAGGAGGTTGGGAAGCTGCTGGATTGGGTCAAAGACGTCGACAAGAAACTGACTCAGCAGCCAGGTGTGGAAGGAAACAACGAACAGCTGCAGCAGATGCTTAAAGAACAACAGGTACCATCATTTTACAGTGGAGTTCTGTACCACTTCAAAAGCAGTTGGGTTGTGTTTTCTGAAATCAGCTAATCATGTTTCAAGGCTGCAGTGTGATGTTTGATGATGAAATGTCTACATGACTTTTATAGTAACAGTATAATGGGGAGTCATCACCGTTTCTGCTCCCCCATCAGGCACTCGGCGAGGACATTGTTGCCCATCAGGAACCCGTAGTCAACACCGTCACCACCGGCAGACAGCTCCTGTCTGAGCACCCCGCCCTCAGCAAGGCTGACAAACAGAGCCTGGAAGGAGGACTGGACAAGCTGGAGAAGGGCTATGAAGGGGTCTGCGACAAGTCTGCTGCTCGGATGGATGAACTGCAGTCTGCACTGCAACAACAGCAGGACAAAAAGGTGGGGTCACTGGAGTGCTTGTCTTAGGAAAACTGTTGTGATGTAGGTCTCCAAATAGGATATGTTGGTGGAGCTGGATTTATAAAAGATAGCTGCATGATCTTCTGCTTCCCAGGAATAGTAAATCACAAGTAATATTTCGAGCAAAAATGTCTGTTTTATCTTTATAAGTTGGCATCTGACAAAAGTTATCCTTCAAGTACATCACATACAAAAGAAGTTGGCTCTCAGACACTCAATTTGAGAGATAATAAAGCAGCTGTCTTCTGTATCCCCCCGCCATATTGTCTTCTTTTGGTGAGACCTCAGCACAGAAGTCAATGAACACATGTTGCAATTGATTCTCAAGATTGTCTAATCTGTTGTAGCTGTACAACACTTGTTTTTCCTTTAAAATGCTTGTGCATGTTATATGTTACAAGTTTTAAAGTGAGCATACGTCCCAAAGACTAAGTGTTATTTACAGTATGCTCTTCTTTGTGTTTTTAGTTGTCCGAAGGAATTATGTAAAGTACAGTTACTCTGCATTTATTGGATGAACTTCTGAATTCCTGAACTTTCAGTTTGATTTTGTTTATATTTGCTACCTTTGTTCTCTTCTGCTTTGTGTGTGTTTGCCAATTTCAGGCCAAGCCAACCGGTTTAGCTGCCGAAAGTAGACAGACAAGAATAGAAGAGCCCCAAGCTGTAGCTACGTATAGCCCTGCAACTCAAGCTAGAGCTAGCCCAGCAACGCAAGCGTCAGGACCCAGCAAAGCTAGTCTGAGCACTGCAGTGCAGCCAGTAGCTAACTTGGCAGGCAGGAATAGAGATAACCATGCTGCAATACTAACAGAAAAAGCTGTAACACCGCTTGTAGTTGACAAAGCTGAAGGTAGTGAAGAAGTTACACCTCAAATTTACACAGTAGTGGAGATTTCCCCAGTCCATACTGTCAAGGAGGACATAACCCCCACAGAGAGTGACTCATCCCCATCTGAATCAGCTGTAAGATATAGTGACACTCCCTCAGATTCTTTGGAGGCAGGGGAACCACTGTCAGAACAAGACAGCTTGTTTGAGGAAGATAGTCTCTCTGTAAAAGATAGTCTGTCTGAACAAGATGAAGATTTAGAGGACGGTTCAGAAGGAGAATCCACCCTTGTGTGGCAGGACAGCCCTATTGCTAGTCTTCAACCTTCTGATTCTGAAGCCAGGAAGGCGGAGGAGGAAAATGTAGCACAGGTGACAGATAAGCCCCCAGCACTCCCGCCTAAAATGTCTAAAATACGAGGTCCTTCAAAACCTCCAGCCCAGCCAGTTGTTGACATAGAGAAGACACCTGTGAGAGAACAGAGCCAAAGTTATAAACCTGATCTCCCTAAAAAGGTAGCAAAAGAGTTACCTCCCTCCAAGGTCAAGCAAGCCCATTCCACAGTAGACAAAGATGTAAGCAGAGTAGATAGCCCAGTTTCAGGCATTCGGGAAGGCAGCTTAGATGTGAAGATGAGAGAAAGAGAGCCACAGAAAAAGCAATTACCCAAACCTGTATCAGCAGTTGGCCCCATGCCTGAGTCCAGTAAACAGGTCATGAGAGAAAGCCTCGTACAGACCCTAGCAGCAGGTGAACATTCCCAGGCCAAACGGCAGCAGCATGAAGTGACCAGCCAGGTAACACCCAATGGGTAGGCCCAACACTGAATCATCCCAAGGTTCAGTCCCTCCAAGCCAGGTAACGCCTAGTCATAGACCCGACACAGAATCACCAAAACATGCAGTTCCTCCCGCACAGGT